CTACTACTACTACTACTACTACTACTACTACTACTACTACTACTACTACTACTACTACTACTACTACTACTACTACCACTACTACCACTACTACCACTACTACCACTACTACCACTACTACCACTACTACCACTACTACCACTACTACCACTACTACTACTACTACTACTACTACCACTACTACTACCACTACTACTACCACTACTACTACCACTACTACTACCACTACTACTACCACTACTACTACTACTACTACTACTACTACTGCTACCACCACCACGACTATGGTAGTCTGGAACCGTGTGCTATGCCAGCATCAGCAAACCATGGCCCTCTAGGCCTGGTATGCGCTAACAGTACCCCGACACCTGGTTCCCTGCCGGTAGATGCGCCCTCGCTGGGTATACAGGTGGTGGGCATGGCTGCCCAGTCACCCTCGTCGTTCTGGTCCATGTTGGGGTGTTGCTCTTGTTGTTACTGGTGACAAATCCTAGTCAAGTGTATTTTGTGGACCAGGGGGTGTGGTGGCAGGCCTAGGTGCGGGTCCGGCAGTGTCAGCCACCTGCGCCCTCCCCCGCCTTCGGTCTTCTTGACTCTGTCTTGACACCGGGTCTAGCTGGGGGAGGAGGGAGGGACCGCGGTGAATGCTGTGTAATTCTACTGTCACTATAAACTAATTCCCGCGCAAGTTGCCGTGCCTGCTGCGTCTTGGTGTGTAGTACACGGTGCACATCGTCAGAATCGGCGGTCGAACTATCCAGAACGTTATTTTGTGAGAACCTATGTAAAGTAAAGCCACCTAAGAGCGCGGGCTCCAACATACATTGCATGCACACTTAGGAGTTTTCATGCAACAGGGTAAAAAACAAAATCAACTTTTCAAAACGTGCGCTCACTCGTAAACCGCCTTTCGTGTGAATTTTAACCGAGCACATAGGGCGGGGTTCATCGGTGCCGGCAAATCTGACAACTGCTTGTGCCTGCTGTCTGTCGCTTCCTGACACAAATGAAGAGTTTGGGCTTTTAGCTAGTACCTCTGTCTGAAGTACGGTATAATACTTTTGCCACGTATCTGTTATATTACTGGCAGTGCTACTTGTTTGTAGAATGTGTATTACGTGGTTATGCCACAGTAGTTGATTGTCTTCGACTCGAATGTTCATTGAAATTTCGGGTCTGACCCTAAAAAGTCATGTCCCGGGGACTTAACTCCATGTCCTACACTGAATAATTTCTGAAATTATTAGCCCGAATCTCTGGAGCTCATACCCATCCAACCCACTGCAACGTCTGCCAAAACATCTATGAATTACGTAAGTCGGGTAGTCATCTGGTGAATTCTAGGTGAATTACTTAGGAAATCCTGCCTGGGCAGTCAACTTACTGTATCAGATTTGGTGGATTCCAGACGTTGCAGTAGGTTGGCCGGGTAACTTGACCCAAATGTGATTAAACTCACGACGTCCGGCGGGGCCTCGTAGCTCAAGTGGTTAGAGCATTGGCTGTACTAAAGCCTTCCCCTTACTACGTGGGTTCGAATCCCACCGAGGCGCCCAGTTTTTCACAGTTGGATCAGTATGAATTATTCAAAATCTGCCTAAACATCTGTGGATTTCATACCACACGAAGAGCAATATATGCAGAACGATTTGTGTCCATTCAAAAAATCAATACGAAACTGGCAAAGTTGTGATTCAGAATAAACTGTCCACCCCACGAAAAGGCCATTCAACACAATTGAAGGAAAATTAGGAAAAATACGGTGATGATAGGGATGCAGTTCCATCATCAGCGACTCTCGTCGAATAGGCCCTTTATAATTTTCCAGGTTGAGTCTTCCTGCGGTTGCATTTAAAGCGGAAGGGAAACAGAACAACGAGCTGCCTTTTCTTAACATCGTTTAGACAAATATGCGGTTTGATCTGAAGGTGGCACAGTAATCCTCTGCGACGAAAATTGGCAGAACAGCCAGTCCAGAAAAAGACGCGTTCTAGTAGCCCTGCTCTCCAAGGACTGCAATGGTTCAAACAGGCTCTAAAACGACCTACAATACGGCCAAGCCCACATTTATCAGTCCTGCGAAAACGATTCCAGTTAAAGCAACAAAGGATGTTTGGTCTATGCGCATCACATGAAGTCATGCCTATAACTTCACGTGCACTTGTGGACATAAGTATGCTGGGCGAGTGCAGGGACAGCTAGGTCAGACCAACACTCACCTAAGTGGCCTTTAAAATCACGCGCTAGGTAATGGACACTATTAGCACAAGGCCAGCCTTACTTTTGCACTGCCAACTCTGATGTTGGGCCATCTTTGAGGCGGCCTACGTATGGAGGAAGTAACTGAGGTTGTGCAAACCGCACTAAGTCATAGGATGAGTCGGGTCTCGTAGTAGTAACTCCTAACAGTTTTGTTTGCCCACTCCTCCGTACGTCGTCATATTTTTCCACGATTTTTCTACCTTGTTCTGATGACCGTTTCATTGATTAGCCTGTATGTTATGCGGCCCTGTGGCTTTCACACCGACTCTCTGGACAGACGTAAAATACGATGTATCAATTTTTCTTCATTCGTACTGTGGGGCGATAGAAAACAGACAAAAAGCAACCAAGTTACCCACTCTCGAAGATGGGTTTGAATATTTTAGTCGATTCCAACGATGACTCCCTTTATCGTGTGACTTGGTATTTGGCATTGACGGGGATCTGAACGTAGGCAATCAAATCTACTCGTGCCGGGGATTTGTGTTCTCTGTGGACACGGATAGGAGTGAGGGCATTTGGTGCTTGTCAGTAAAGCCTCTCAGTGTCACACTACTCCGGTATCATCGTTTTATCTGCTGTGGATTCGTGCAGTTGACTCATACTGCTTATCAGACATCCCAGGTCTAGGTTTTGGGAGGCATTTATCAGCGGATTCAGAAGGATAGATGAAATTCGTACTTCTGTGATGGTTTCTCGCATCATTATAGCTCTTCGTGTCAGTGCATTCGTCTTTTACTGTTACTTATTTTCAGACAAAAAACGTTAGATCAAATTTCTATTCGCAATGCATGTCGCCGTTGTTTCTGAAAATTTAGTACCACGTGAAGACTAGGACGTTAGGTGAAATTCACAGTTGACAGCAAGACAGCCGAATTTCACTTCACAAAAAAGTAATTGTGGCGATTTCTACAAGTAGAACTGGGGAGTGCTTTTGGGAAATGAACAGTTAAATGATGTAGTTTGAAATATTACCTTTTACTCCTTAATACCAATAGCCGGAAACAAGATCAGTCTCGTATTTTGTGTCTTGTATATAAGCTGTTGTTGGTTACGATCCTGGTCAGCTGTTGTGTGGGCCATAGGCGCGCCATCCACCTGCGCCTCGCCCGCCTCCGGTCTTCTTGACTCTGTCTTGACACCGGACCTAGGCGCGGGTGGAGGAGGGAGTGCAATAGATGCTGCGCAAGTCACCGTGCCTGCTTCACCTTGCTGTGGAGCGCATGGTGGATATCGTCGGCAACAACGGTCAGATTGGTATATGCACATTATCGTCAGCCTCAGCCACGAACCCGCAATTTCGGGTTAAAGGATCCAATATCGAGGTTGACTGCCACGACCAACGATGGTTGACGTATGACCGGCTAGCCAGTACAATCATGTCCAAACCTCCCCTTTTGGTTCCTCCGTCCTTGCCGTTTCGCATTTTTATAACATCATTGTACAAGTCAGTAAAAGCGACCGCCGAGTGTCTCTATTCCCTTTTTTGTGGTCCCACAGCTCATCACCCATCGGCCCAGTGAGGCGGCTTTCGATCTCCTGCGTAGCCTCCTGGTTTACGGACCTAACGTGCGGCAAGCCGCTGCGGACGCCCTCGCCTCACCCTTCTTCGCGGACCTCTTCAACCAACCGGCCTCCGAGGCGGGGACAGGGAAATCCACTCAGAACTTCATTGACAACTTCTCAGAGGAGGGTAAGTGCCACCCGCCTCCCGACCTGCCCGCTGATGTTTCTGATAAGGCTCCGACTGTGAGTAGCAGTAATTTCTGAAGGTGTGCCTCATCGACGTTTCCACTTCTTCTGTGCTACAGCTCGCGACTGAACAGAGGTATTATAAATTCTCCTACATATACAGACATAGACCATATCGGTGTTCAAAAGTGCCCATCTTATCTGAGCCCCTAGTGACTTCGAAGCCACTAACGACGCCGGTACTTCGGCCGTTCAGCTGACCACTGAATCCTCCCAGCATCTTCCATGTTACCTCTAGCATATATTCTTTTAGGTTTTACATTTGTATGTATTATACAAAGTTTCAGACCGCAATTCAAAAAAAGTTTGTCATGACGAATTCATTCTGAGAAAATTGAAAAAAAAGTTCCTGGGGAACCGTTACACTCATTCTATGCCACAGTGTCAACATCAGCTCATGAATTTGACAATTCTCTTGCCCATGTCAGCAGTGATTCTGCTGGCTATCACATCTCACAACTACGAAGATGTTCAGGCAGAACGACTGCTCCTTCTTCTGTATCTTGACTCTGTCAATGGCTTTTGGGTGAAAATCCTTACAGCCACCGCCTAAAGTCATGTCCGCTAAGAAAAAACACGACTACTCAAGCGGCGAGCGTTGTTTTTCATTGATCGTCCGTGCCTGTGCAGATATGAGGTCATTTAATACCCATAAACCTCTGGACTAGATATCGGCTATGTTGTATTCTTAAAAGCAACATAAAAAATGGGGCATATTCTACGTTTCTTAAATAACTATCTCAGCGTCTCAACATTTTCGCAAGCACAAGCTTCTTGGAAGCTGAAAGGTTGGCTGTCCTCAGAAATAAACTTCTACTGACATTTGCATCTGTACAAAATCAGTGTGAGGCCTTTTCTGTGCATTATTTCTATGAAATATGATTGAGTTTAAACAGATATTGAAAGTAAAGGGAAAAAGTATGCATTGGTGAAGTGTTGGTTACTCTTAACGAGTTTGTCTGAAAGCGCCCGTCTGACATTCTTCGAACGTGCCGGCCCCATTAAAGTTGGATTGGCTTCTCCCTAGGAGCCAAACCAGCCTGTAGGCGCGGCTTTACCTGGTGGGGAGACGCTTCGGTTGCCCCCATACGACTTAGCCTGCCAGTCGAAACAGGCACCGAGGTGTGGTGGTTGATGTCCTGAGTGCAATTTCGTTGAGACATGCATAATTGGATGCCAAGTGCCTCAAGGTCCTCAAAGCGACCGTCAGTTAACTGCCCTGCCCCGGCGCCCGTCGGGACGCTTGGAAACGGAGTTCCACGGAAAGGATTATACAACTTGCCTTGTTTAATTTACTAAGAAATTGATGCGCCAACTTGTAGACCTTTTCAGACACAGTCCGAAATTTGATATGAATATTTGAGCTGAAACCCATCAGCTACTGCGGAATAACCGCGTAATATTCACAAACCGCCAACAGGCAGCCAGTAGTATAGAATTGTGTAGTTTACCGTACTAACAACACAGGTATTAGCCAAGTTCGCGCATTAATTTCCTCGCAAGGCCGCCACAGTGTCAGCATCAGCTCCTGAATCTGACAATTCTCTTGCCCATGTCAGCGGTGATTCTGCTGGCTATCACATCTCACGACCACAAGGACGTCCAGGCAGAACGACTGCTTCTTCTCCTGTATCCTGACCTTACCAATGGCTTTTGGGTGAGCATCTTTCCAGCCACCGGCGAAAGTCAAATTCGCTAAGAAGAAACACGACTACTCAAGCTGCGAGCGTTGTTTTCCATTGATCGTCCGTACCTGTGCAAATTTGAGGCCATTTAATGCCCGTACACTTCTGGAGTCCCCACGTGCGATCTAGTATGTAATCCACTTTCCAACGTTTATCTCTTTTAAGGTTGCAAAAATTCCCAAGGAGCAATTTAAAAGAGCATCTGACGAGCATACGTGTGCTTTGGATAAATTCTCATCCGGAACGAGTTACAAAGTAAAGCGCGTGAGCGACAAGAGAGATAGATTACGGTTCGTCTTTTCATGCAAGCGAGGTGTGTGAATAAGGGCGGGGGAGGAGGCAGTAGGTGGCCCCTCTCTCTTGACAGTTGGTCGAGCCTCTAGCTGCCGTCGGCAGCTCGAGCCATAGATCCCGTGACTTATCTGCGAAGATGACGCAGTCCTTCCTCCTCTGTGGAATGTGGCATTTTTAGAGTGCATGGCAGATCCTGCATGATCCAAGGGATCACATAAAGAAGCAGTTGATATCTTTTTAATGACAACTCACTGCCGCTTCATCAGGGTCCTCTTTTCAGGCGTGACGAACGTCCAGTGACAAAACTTGACGAATGTACGACAAAAGCAACTAGTGACTGAACCTTGAAACTATAATGCTAACTTGGACCGTTTTAAAGTTGCGAAAATTCCCATGGAACACTTCAGAAGAGCATTTAGCGAGCATACGCGTGTTGTCGATAAATTTTCATCAGGCCTGTACATTTATATGGGGACGAGGTACAAGCTGAATCGTGTTAACGATAAGGCAATCAATTAAGGTGCGTCTTTTCACACAAATGGGGTATGTGAATAGAAGAGGTGAGGGGGGGGTGAAGAGGGAGTCAGCGACAGTGAGGGTTAGGTAGAGACGCGCCAAAAGGAGAAGGGGAGGACAGGGGCGCGGAGACATGCATACAGTTAATTGATCCTTGGCCACGGTAGAGGCGGAGAGTGCAAGAGGCTCTTCTGCACACACAGGATCGGCTTCTGTGGCCTGATGGCAGTCGTTTCTGCTGTTGCTAGTAGGCGCTGACCTAGTCGCTTAGGGTAGTTAGGTGGGACCTTGTAAATAGCACGGAAGGCTTCATTGGGGTCCACTCAATACCCAAAATCGAACATGTGAGCGAGGACGGAGCTGTGTATGCTCTTAATTTCACCTTTCCTCAACCACACCGGCAGGTGTTTTCGTATTCTTATGGATAGGCGCCGACTCGTACGGCCAATATAACCCGCTCCACAGGAGCAAGATATAAATCTATAGTACAGGCTATAAGAGGGTGGGGGGAGGGCGTGAGGAACTTTAATAACCTCGAAAGTTTCAACAGTTGCCTTTCTGCTTGTTCACAGTTCAGTGATCAAGGATACGGACTGGAACCTACTGCCCTACCAACTGGGTGTAAAGCCCACCCTTGAAGCTCTGAACAGTTCTGTCTCAGGTAGCTAGTGGGTAGATTTAGCGTGAACGCCAGTATCCAGTTGCCACGGACGATTAGTTTAGTCATTTCGTCCGTCTAATTCTTGTATTGTGGTGGAGGAGCGCTCACCGATTATGTTAAGGAACTCACTCGTCCCGTTCTGCCTTAGGGCTCCCTCGAGCCCAACTAGCAGCGGCACAGTGGCGCCTAATATAGGCAGAGTTGGGCTCGAGAGAGAGCCCTAAGGCACAACAGGACGAGTGAGTTCCGTAGCATAATCGGTGAGCGCCCCTCTACCATTCCATATTCCCGATCGCAACTGAGAGGACGATGAGCCCGTGGCTCAGTGGTAAGAGGTGTTGGACTTCTAACCAACAGGTCGTGGGACCGAGCCCCGGATGTTCCACACTTCGGGGTTGCGTATGACCGGCAGACGACGACTAATGAGTCAGAAATGGCCAGTCCAGTATCCGTTGTCCTTGTGGGTAATATTAACTCTTGTACCACCTGCCAACCTTCGTTTAGTTCGGTTTTCCATCTTACGACGGTGACAGACGCCCACGCCACATTGGCCGAATTCAGACAGAAAAAGAGGTTGGGTATGATTGCTGCAGGCATAAGTGAGGGACAGGACCCTGCGTTAATTCATTCAGCCTCACGTCTGATATCCAAGACTCACGATCATCTCTATTGGGACGGTTTTGTTCAAGCAAAACACTTCTTTGGAAGTATACCTTCTCCCCGCCTTTTTTGCCTGCTTGGAGTTTACTAGTTTTCGTAAAAGACCATTTGACGTCGTAGAAACGCTTATTCAAATTCCTGCAATATATTCATTGTGAATGGGGTTTTTCCGTTTGTATATTCGGAACAGAGTCTGTACTTTTGCATGTCACTAAGCCTGCTAGGCCACCATAACTGCAGCGCTTTAATTGGCAACAATCAGAATGTAAATTTTTTTCGCAGTATTCCATCCCCTAGGTTTTAAAGTTGTTTGTGGCTTAAATTGATGCAAAACAATTTGAAGCGGGATTTGCGAAGTGTTGCGTGAAGGTGAAGAGCGTTTCGTGTTGGATCAATAGGCTCCCCCCACGTCCCCCCAACTGCTAGAAGTATTTGGCCGCCAATGTTAGACGATCTTTTGTAGCTGCTCGAAATTACAGTCAGCGACCGATCTCATGAAATGTTGGTTGAAGTTCTGAAATGCGTTTTCGATTAGGAAGGATTACTGAAGTGGGGTTGTAATATTGATTACCTTACGACATAATCCTATAATATTTAGGACTCGGCAGGACGTCAGCTTTTAAATGCACTGTTTATTGATCTCCTGTAGAAACCGAACTCGGTAAAAAGTGGCGTTTACCATTGCCCCTCATGAAATTTACAACACGATCCCCATCCATTGCAAAATGTTGTGGACTCAGTATGGAATCTTTTTAAAGGCATAGAAGAATATGTGATTTTCTTTACGCAGAACGCATGCACCTCGTAGACTGAAATCACTAGGCGCCAATGCAACGAATTCGGGAATTAGAAAACTTATTTAAAACCAAATTATTCTCCATTTTCGAGCATAGAATATAAGGAGGATGTCATTTTCTATCAAACGACTCAAAGAAAGCATACTTTTGTTCGTTGTTTCTATAAAATATGTTTGAATTTGGAAGACCATCTGAAATCAGTGGGGCAAATGCATGCTACTTAAGTAGTCACTTTTTTACCGAGTACGGTTTGTACAGGAGATTAATAAACAGTGCATTCAAAAGCTGACATCCTGCCAAGTCCGAAATTTTATCCGATTATGTCGTAAGATAATCAATATCAAAGCCGCGCCTAAGTAATTCTTCTCAATCGAAAACGCATTTCAGAATTTCAGCGAACACTTCATGAGATCGGTCACTCACTGTAAGCCACCGTAAGTGAAACGCTCAAAATCAGATCAATTCGGCATTTGGAAAATTTTTAATTTACAATCCAAACCACGTATGTGAACGAGGCCCACACACGTGCGTTGACGTGCTCGTCCTTCGAGCGCGTGTGCCCCTAAAACGGGCCACGCGGTGGATGCTGGTAGGCGTTATTGGGAATGTGCATCCATTCCCAACAAATGCCAACATTCTGGATGCAGTGGCAGATCGCGCCAATTGGGATCCCCGCCGCCCCCACTTTTGTTGATGTTGCTGTTGTTGGAAATTCTGGTCAAGTGTCAGCTGTGATGGTGCGCTTAGGTGAGGTTTTTTTGCCGCGCCAGCTACCTGCGGCCACTCCCGCCTCTGGTCCTCTTGACTTGGCCGTAGCACCAGATCCAGACGGCAAGGAGGGAGTGCGGCAGGTGCTGCACAAGTCCCCCATAACTATAGAATGACGCGCAAGTCGGCGTCCCTGCTCTCACTCTACTGTGCAGCAGCCTGCGGACATCGTCGAAATCGACGGTCGAACTGTCGATTTGAGCGTGCACTTGAAGGGCAGGGGGGGGGCGTATGTGCATGTCATGTTTGGGCAATCGGCTGATCGATTGGCCGATATACAGTCATCTCTCTGATTGGCTTGCGCCTACAGCCACACTTGTTAGCGTTTGCTTGCCAGTCGCTAAGCTAACCAGTATCAACGCCTTAGCAACTCGCCGACCCTGAAGCGTGAGCATACGCCTACATGTCTGCTTTACCGGCACTACCAGGCCGCGCGCCGCATCTCGCGCTTCAGGTTGTCGGCGGGAACAGCTTACATTCGGAACGCTGCAGCTGCGCTCCTACATAAATGAGCTAATGGTGATTTTCTTGAAGGCTTATTAATTACCGGTTTGAGTCTGGGAGCAGACTTTCTGGGTGAACAGCTATAGCGGCAGTCGGAGTGCCGCAGTTTTGTATTATTGTGCAGCAACTTTCGGTAGCGCAATTTGTATCATGTTGTTCGCCTCCGCACTGCTTTGTCTACACAACAGCGACGTTCGACGGCCTCGGATTCGGTTTCAGCAAAGCGTAGTAGCCGACTCGGGTTTTTCCGAATGTATACCCTGGAGATCACATGCCAGCAAACAGTCAGTAATCAAGATGTATTCACGGCAATGATCATTTCCGCATTGCGTGCCGTCATAAACCGGCCATACTCCAACCCACGTCGCGAATACCTGCAAAATGAACCGGGGTCTCATTGTCCAACCGTCCCCGGTCGGTCAGCACTACTTGTGACCGGCCTTTCCAGATCACAATCTGCAAGGCATGTGTCCGTCGTTTGATGCAAAAGAGTTAACCCAGTATTCACCCAGGCCTTGCTGACGACGACAAATTGGTTGGAAACGCCGATTCAGCCCGCCCTAACTTTTGTAGGTAGTGATCTCCGTTCAGCACTATGTATCTTACACGCCCTACCAAGATATGTCCTACTTGTATTTTGCATCCCACAATTTGAGTAATCTTTCGCATCTTCTTCTTCCCTCGTAAGAGTTGGCCTACCTCCCGGAACAGCTAGTTGTAAAGATACGAGCGGTCGCAGCATCGGACAAGACAAGCAAGCAAACGGGTCCAACATTGGGCCAATCGAATTCCAACTCTGCCCATTTGCCCTATCCGCTCAGTGAGGGGTCAGTCCCACCCGCTGGTACCGCCAGCGGAAGCAGCAGTGGGCGTTCACATCGTTCCTCACATCGCCACCACTACCATCACCACCCCCATCAGCAGCAGCAGCAAAATGACAATCCACACGCCGAGCCAGGAACCGACGCCCCATCGTCCCGTTGTTCACAGTCTGCCAGGCGAACCAGCATGCCGGATGGCTGGAGCAGCAGTCGAGACGGTTCCCCCGCCACAGGCTCTGTTGGTGGTGGCGTTGGTGGCAGTGGAAGGTCAGGCGGTCTTGCCTCCTATTGCAGTCGACGAGGCTCTTCCACCGTAGCGACCGCTGCCACTAACAACACCAACGCCAGTGAGTCCTCATCTCGCCATATTTGGTAAGCACTACGTCCGTCGTTAATGTTTCTGACCGGTAGTAGCGGCAAACATGACGTTCCTGTGAAAGCCTGTTGTAGGCGATGGCGTCCATCGTTGCCGCACGCGGTGGGTCATCTGCGATGGCCTGCGCGTGAATGGGCTTATAGTGAGGCGTACTTGCACAGCATCTACTGCACTCTCCTCCCTCTCCCACCTTGTTCCTCTGACAGGATAAAGTAAAAACGACCAATACCCCTGTTTTCGTTGTAGCATAAAATCGTGGTTAGTGTCTACTGTGGACGAGAAAGTTTGGTGGTCCTCCTAGGTGCTGGTTTTCGTCGTGCCAGCCACCCGCGCCCTCTCTCACCTCCAGTCTTCTTGACTCTGTCATAAAATTGGAACCAGGTGGGGGAGGAGAGAGTGCGGTAGATGCTGTGCAAGTCCATTATCAGTATAAACTAATTCACGCGCATATCATCGCCCCTGCACCCACCCTGCTGTGGACACTGTCGGTCACGGCGATCGAACTGTTGCGTGTATTCATGTGTATGTTTTGAGTTAGACAGGATTTGGAGCCGAAAACTATTTTAAAACCGTCCATCCGTGCAAACAGAAAGTACGAGTATCATTCAGAAAGGCTTCCACAAATTTTGGGTTGCTGAATCCACTGATCGACTCTACCGTAGCGATGGCGTTTATGGTCTCTGAACACTGGCCGGTCTCACCAGCTGTTCCTCAACGCCTCTTCTTTGACTATCCCCAACGGCATGAAAGGAATTGACGTCCGATAATCTCCGATACCGTGCCACCCCCTCCCCCCCTTCTTGACGGTCGAAAATCTACCGCCAGCAGTTTTTTTCTCCTGAACCCACCAAACCATAAAAACCACCATCAAATATTTTTTTATTCTTCAGGAGTTTTTTTCACTGCTGGTCGGATTTGTGTTTAATCGCTTCCCTTGACAATGCCTATAAACTGGCATTTAATAATAAATTAAATTAAATTACTGTACAGTGAGTAGTTAACGAGAGAACTGCGTTTATTCAAAAAATGTGCGGGCATTGAATTCGCAGTCATCTGCTTAGCACTAATAAGCGAAAAAAAGTCTAGTCTCGCCCGACTAAGTAGTCAGTATTTTTTCTTGAAGCTAAATGTTCATTGTTGCGTAAAAGAGGAGAAAAGTAGGTTCAGCTTGAGAAGTCCGCAACCCCAGATGCAGGTGTGTCCCCTGTTAGGCTCGTGCTTTGAAGAAAACTAAGCAGAAGAAGAGGCAAAAGCGAGCATGTGTTGTTTGACCGTTTCGAATACGGCACTACCCTACTTCTTTTGCTAGTTACCCTAACTTGGAGTGCTTCCTAACTGGAACTCGTGCCCAATTTTGAGTAATTTTTGCCGGGGAAGGAGGGAAAAAGGCGTAAGTTTTTTTTTAAGGTTAAATCAAAGTCGAAATTCTCCGAACCGACACTTTTAATTCCTGAATAAGGGTTTTACTGATGCTCGACCATGTGGTCAACTCATTAATTTGCATCTAAAGCGATCATCCTCTACGCTTTTCTTATGATTTTTCTCGCTCCCCTTTTTGCCTGCCTACAGAGTGAACTGGAGAGACCGCGTCTCTGTCGCCCCTCGTCATCCTTCTGCGCTGTGATGGACCTGTCGGTGGGGAGAGGGTCACCGTCCACCCCAACGCTCCCTCCAGTCCCTCGTTATGCCCGGTCTGCACACTCGGGCACCCCACTCTGCATTTTCTAAACTAACCGCTCCCTTCTTTGCCCAACCACAGACTCATTGGGTACAATGGCGCTGTCGATTGCCGCCCTCCCATGGTTGACCGACCAGTGC